AGCGCCGCACTGTCGGACGGTCAGTACTGAGGGAGCGCCGCACTGTCAGAGGGTCAGTACTGAGGGAGTGCCTCACTGTCAGAGGGTCAGTGCTGAGGGAGCGCAGCACTGTCGGAGGGTCAGTACTGAGCGAGCGCCGCACTGTCAGAGGGTCAGTATTGAGGGAGTGCCGCACTGTCAGAGGGTCAGTGCTGAGGGAGTGCCGCACTGTCAGAGGGTCAGTGCTGAGGGAGTGCCACACTGTCAGAGGGTCAGTACTGAGGGAGCGCCGCACTGTCGGAGGGTCAGTACTGAGGGAGCATGGCACTGTCAGAGGGTCAGTGCTGAGGGCAAGGTGCAATGTAGAAGGTTATAAATTTCAGAGGCAAGATCGGACTGTGTTCTCTTCCAGCCTCTCAGCTGGATGTTCAAGTGTGTGCTGCCAGTATTTTGAATAATTGGGTAGTGCCTCTGACCAACCTCCATAAAACTGATGATGTACTCCTTAGCCCCCAGCTCTCAGTGGGAAGGTGCTGTTCATAAAATGGCTGCACATTCCGTCTACAACAATACAGGGAGGTACAGTCCTGAGTGGCTTGAACGCTGTTTGTGTCTTCCTGAGTTTGTGTAAAATGCTTTCCAAATGCAAAACTTTCTCATTCATCCTTTCCAAACCATTGCTCTTTCATCTGCCCTGAACCTCCTGACTCCCAGATCCAATCCTGCTGAACTCCTCACCTCCACCCCTGCCTTTTCACTCCAAAGCTTAGGTTACAAGTAGCATTTGTGCCTCTGTGGGTCGGTTATGTGTCAACTCTGGCCAGGCTGCACTTTTACAACAGCCCGTCTCAACAGAACACTAACTTTGTGTCGCGCTCAAGGCTGGGTCTGTTTTTCTAACTGCTGCCATCAAATAAAGATTGAAATGCGAGTCATAAATTACAAGAGCTTTTTGCAGCACACTGCACATCTGTAAAACATTTCCGACAAACTTGCTGCCCAACTGTGGTGTTAAATTCAATAAATCAATGAAAGGATATTCCTTGTTTTGCACAAAGGGCCTTTCTAAGGAGAGGGAAATGTGACTATCCTCAATTACTAGTTTACAGCCCTGGTACACACAGAAACATTCGTACAAAAACTGTTCACATGGAGCGTGTCTGTGCACAGAAACAAATTCACATGTCCACACACACATGTATGTACAGGGATACACTCAGGTAAGCTAAACGCAGCAACACATACGTATTCAAACACATACACACACATTGTAAATAAACCAAAAATTATGTCTGTCGACATTCCTTGTTCATTTCTCTGTTCGAAATTCCTTGGTCCACATTCATAATGAAAATAGTCCATGTAAACATGTCACGTTGCAGTGCCACCTCTTGGCAGGGACATGTAATTACAAAGCAATTCATTTTTCTTGACACTTCCCACGATTCCTGTGGAACAAGGAATGGTCCTGGCCTTACATAAAATCTGCAGCCCAGAAACAAACCATTTCAGCTGATAGGTCTGTGCCAGTGTCTGCCTTATCAACCTTTTCCCAAACCTCTTCACCTCAGCTTATTGGACAAATCGTTCTTCTTGTTCTTCCCTCAGTTGTTTGTCAAACTTCCCTTGGGATTCATTTCTCCTCTTCCTCTCCACCTCTCCCTTTGACAGAGAGTTCCACATTCTTACCGCTCTCTGAGGGAAGACATTCTTCCTGAATTCCTCACAAAATCATCACCAGAGTGCCATTGAATCCCTACAGTGTGGAAGCAGGCTATTCAGCCTATCGAGTCCACACCAACCCTTCAAAGAGCATCCCATCCAGATTCATTCCCCAACCTCTCCAATTTCACATGGCCAATCTACCCAGCCTGCACATCCCTGGACACTATGTGCAATTTAGCATGGCCAATCCACCCTAACCTGCACATCTTTGGACTGTGGGAGGAAACCAGAGCACCCGGAGGAAACCCACGCAGACACGGGGAGAATGTGCAAACTTCACACAGACAGTCGCCCGAGGGTGAGATCGAACCCAGGTCCCTGGCGCTGTGAGGCAGCAGTACTAACCGCTGAGACACAATGGACTTCAAATTCACTCCATCTAAGGCCTACCCTCAGTCTGTACTCCACATGCAGAAACATAGACTTCATGCAATGTCTTATCATCCAACAGGTGTCAATGCAGTCTCACAGTCTGTGTTTTATCTTTGATCTGTGCTCACATCTTTGATCCCAATACACTGTGGGTGTCCGCGGAGGCACATCAGTTCAGGTCCCTGTTCTGTCAACAATGTCAGATGTCTATTCTGGATTGTTTGCCAATGTTAGGATCCCGACTGAAGTTATTACTGTGCAAAGTCTGATAACAATTGATTTTATTTAACAAGATGGGATCTCACTGAAACACAAACATGCAAACACTGCAAATACAGTTTTACCAATGAAACAGAAGCTTACTCCACAAAAGATGATAAAATGGAAGAAACAAAGCTATCTGTGCACCACAGCTTGAAAGATTTTGAAACACAACATAAAAGTACAGATACCATCCGTCGCAATGACACTCCTTTAACAGTCCTCGAACACCAGAGAGAATTCCCTTCTCTATCACATCTATGTACTATACAACTCCCCAGTAGTCAATGGGAAATTGAGAAACAAATTTGTAAGAAGATCTCAGTTATCTGTAAGGATAGTACAATAGTTATGGTAAGGGATTTTAACTTCCCAAACATAGACTGGGATTGCCACAGCGTTAAGGGCATTGATGGAGAGGAATTTGTTAAGTGTGTACAGGAAAATTTTCTGATTCAGTATGTGGATGTACCTACTAGAGGAGGAACAAAACCTGACCAACTCTTGGGAAATAAGGCAGGGAGAGTGACTGAGATGTCAGTAGGGGAGCACTTTGGGGCCAGTGGCTATAATTCTATTAGTTTCAAAATAGTGATGGAAAAGGATGGGCCGGAT